CCAGTTACCCACTGAGGCCTGATGAATGATGATGATGTGCTATGTTGGATTGCATACCTCAACAGAAAAATGACAAATACAGCTGAGGAAATCCAAATGAAGTTTAGTTAATAATGTATCATTTTTGCATATTAATAGTGAAAAATATATCTTAATAATGTAAGATGTTAACAATAAAGGAAACTAGGAGTAGATATACTATCTTCACTATATTTCTGTAAATATAATACCATTACTTAAAAAGTTCATTTAAAAAATATTTACAGAGGGGTGGGCTGACAGTATGGCATAGTAGGTTACGCGTCCACCTGCAGTGCCTGCATCCTGTATGGGTGCTGATGCGTGTCTTGGTTGCTTCACTTCCAATCCAGCTGCTTGCTGATGGTCTGGGAAAGCAGTGGAAGAAGGCCCAAGTGCTTGGGCCCCTGAACTAGTGTGGGAGACTCAGAAGCTTGGAGCCCCTGGCTTTGGATTGGTCTAGTTCAGGCTGTTGCAGCCATTTGGAGAGAGAACCAGTGAAAGACCTCTCTCTCTCTCTCCATCTCTCCCTCTCTCTGTCTGTAACTCTGCCTCTGAAGTAAATAAATAAATATATAAAAAATTTACAAAAACATATTAATAGTCCAAGATACTTTTTTTTTTTTTTTTTACAGGCAGAGCTAGACACAGAGAGAAAGAGAGAAAGGTCCTCCCTTTCCGTCGGTTCACCCCCCAAATGGCCTTTACGGCCAGCTCAATGCGGCCAGCGCACCTCCTCCAAGTCTCCCATGTGAGTGCAGGGCCCAAGCACTTGCGCCATCCTCCACTGCCCTCCCGGGCCACAACAGAAACCTGGACTGGAAGAGGAGCAACCGGGACAGAATCCGATGCCCCAACCAGGACTAGAACCCCGGGGTGCCAGCGCCTCAGGTGGAGGATTAGCCTAGTGAGCCGTGGCACCAGGCCCTTTAAAAAAAATTTTCATGTAATAAATATAAATTTCCAAAGTACAGCTTTTGGATTACAGTGGTTTTTCCTCCCCCCATAACTTCCCTCCTACCCACAACCCTCCCATCTCCTGCTCCCTCTCCCATTCCATTCACATCAAGATTCATTTTCAATTATCTTTAAATACAGAAGGTCAGTTTATATTAAGTAAAGATTTCAACAGTTTGCACCCGCACAGAAACACAAAGTGCAAAGTACTGTTTGAGTACTAATTATAGCATTAATTCACATTGTACAACACATTAAGGACAGAGATCCTACATGGGAAGTAAGTACACAGTGACTCCTACAATTGACACTCTTGTTTATGGCGTCAGTAATCACCCTAGGCTCTTGTCATGGGTTGCCAAGGCTATGGAAGACTTTTGAGTTAGCTGACTCCAAGCTTTTTTAGATAAGGTCATAGTCAAAGTGGAAGTTCTCTCCTCCCTTCAGTCCCTTCAGAAAAAGGTACCTCCTTCTTTGATGGCCTATTCTTTCCACTGGGATCTCACTCGCAGAGATCTTCCATTTAGGTTTGTTTTTTGTTGTTGTTTGTTTGTTTGTTTTGCCAGAGCAAGATATGGTTTCAAAAAGAATAGAAAAGGAACTATATAAACTTATAAAATGGAAAGGAGAAAATAATAATAAATAAAATAATAAAGACAAAAATGAACAAAAACAATGATACAATCAACAAATTCCTTGAAAATATCAATACAACTGACAAATTTGTATCAATACTGACAAAACAAAGAGAAGATGTATTAATAGCATTAGAAATCAAATAAGAGCATCACTACACACCTTAAAGTGTTACTTCCTAGAAGAAGCATCCAGATCCAGATAGCTTTATTAGAGAATTTTACCAAGTATTTAAACAAGAACTGGCATCAATTTCAAACTTAATATAGGGATAGTAATAAAAAATATTATTGAAGAAATAGATCAATCAAAAATAATAGAGAAACTAGATATAGGCCCAAATATATATAATTTTTTTTCAGATGTGTTAGTTCTTCCATGGAGAAAGGACAGTCTTTTCACAAGTACTGCTGGGAATGCAAACGTTCCAGGCAGAACACTGAACCTTGATCTAACACTGAACTTTGACCTGTGCCTCGCACCTTACACAAAAGTCAACTCAAAATGGATCATGGCCCTCAATGTAAAATGCATACCATAAAGCATTTATAAACATACAGAGGAGGAAACTTTTTGGATCTGTGGGTAAAAATGAGTTCTTACTGATGCCAGTACCATGACCCAAAAATTGTACCTCATTTAATTAATCACTACTGCTTTTGAGCACTCCTACGAAGAGGATAAGAAGGCAGCTGATACAGGTGGAGGCAGATATTCATAATTTACAGATCTGACAAATGGCAACTATTTCAAATAAAGAAAAAAATCAATAATGAAATTGCTAACAGTACGATTAGGAAATGGGCCAAAGAAATGAACAGTCATTTCATGGTAAATGCAGACGGCAAGCAAATAGTTGAAAAATAATAAAACTCATCACCTGTTAGGAAAACGCAAATTCAAACCACAAGGTGTTACTACCCATAAGGAGCTCCTCCTAAATGTCTATCACAAATGCCAAGATTTCAAAAATAGTACCAAGTGCTGGTGATGCTCAGAAAACAAGGATGCAGGTGGGATGTACGATGGTGTAGGCCACCTGCAGAGCAGCTGGGCAGGTTATACATCAAACAAATGTGCCACTCTGTAGCCACCTACTGTCCAGAAACCCTAAATTATTGGCATTCATCTTGCACAATTGAAAACTTCCAATTACAAAATTAAATCAGTTATATTATTCTAAAAAATATTTGTTTCCCAAACACTTTAAATATACATGTCAGCACTCTACTGAACTCACTAAACATTATTTCCTGCCATGAAAAAATCATATATAGTTTCACAGGGATAGCACAAATTTAACACAACACATCCCTTCAATGATTCATGAAAAATAGTCTTCTATCTTAGTAAGCAGGAATTCTTCTCAGAGTGTTGACATCTGAAACTATCTACAGTCTTATAAATTTTGGAAAATGATTTTTGTATGTAAACTCACATTTACAAAAAGAATTTTACGTAACTCACTTATCTCACATTTCAGAGATAACCAGAAAAAATACAGAAACACAAGATAAAGTGAAAATATTTAGGTGTATATCACTTCTTCAAAAAATTCAAAATATGCATACTCTTATGTCGCTCCCCCTCTTCGCGGAGGAACGACACAGGACCCTGTGCTGTTCTTTTGTCTGCTCGGCCCTTCCCGGGTTTGCTGCTGGTTCTTCCCGGGTTGGCTACCATCCCTTCCACCTCCGTGGAAGGGCAGTTCCCCCTGCCACTTTCCCCACTTCCGCGGGGGAGCGGCACACCGCCGGCCGGCTCTCTTGGGGGCTGCACAGGTGTTCCTTCAGATAGATGTTCCTGGTGCATGTTGTCTCTCTCCTCCTTTATAGTCCTCTTCCACCAATCCCAACTCTGCTACCCACACGCTGAGTACGCTGCTCTCCTCCGATCAGGAGCAGCTCCTACAGCTTGTCAAGTTGGTGAAAGGCAGCTGTGTAGAAGCTGTTTCCTCCTCTCCCAGCGCCATATTGTGGGAGAGCAGATGCATAGAATAAGTCTTAATTCCAGTAACAGTCTAGTCCGAGTTGCTCCCCACACTCTTAGTGATAATTATAGTTATCATCATGTATTCTTTATTACATGGCAGGCCTCTACCAAGTATTTTATTTCCATACCATATTACCCTTGGGCTTAAACAATTCCACTACTAGAAAGTGTTAATGTCGGGATTTAAAAATCAAGTTAAAGTAACTGCTCTTTCCATTTCTCTCCACACAGGCATGCACAAGCACACATACACAGGCATACACACACATGTATACACACAATTACAAATAAGCATGATCCTGTACTTTCAAAGGTAAACAAGCCACTTTTTTTCTAAATCCTAGCAATCATTGGCACAAAGTTCAAATAAGCAGAATGAGCATTTGCTCAAACCACAGCCCTTAAGGGGAAATTTATGTTAGAAACAATTCCAATAGTTTCTTTTTCAAAATAAAAATAATGAGGCTGAAATATAAAATGCCTTGATTGTTTTACTAAGCAGCAAAATTGTTAAAACACAAAATACTTTTATCCTTTGATTTTAGGACTAGAAACCTAGAATGAATCATTTAAAATCTTATAAGGGAAAGACAATGTAATGAGACACTATGAGTTACAGAATTAAACCAATTCTCTGCTATGGCCTGGGAAAGCAGCTGAAGATGAACCAAGTCCTTTGGCCCCTGCACCCACGTGGTAGACCCGGGAAGAAGTTCCTGGCTCCTGGCTTCAGATCAGCTCAACTCTGGTCATTTAGGGAATGAACCAGTGAATGCAAGAACTCTCTCTCTCTCTCTCTCTGGCTCTACCTCTCTCTGTAAATCTTTCAAAGAAATAAAATAAATCTTTTTTAAAAAAACAAGGATTAATATACAAAAATAATTGTAAAAATAAAATAACTTAGAAATATAACAAAATTAAATATCTCACACCAATTAAGAAATATCCTACAAAAGGTATTGAAAATATTGCGTCAGAAAAAGCAGAATATAAAGTCAGAAGCCTCTATCAATGGCTAGATTAATTGAACATTCTCATTACAAGGAAGTAGTCTGTATTGAAACACCTGAAACAAATAAAAATTAGAAATGTTTCATAAACAAAAAAAGTTGAAAACAAATTTTAAAGCATAAGTTGCTCTTGGAGATGATGGAAAAACCCCAACAATTATCTTTCTTAATTGTTTTTAATATTGAATGAGATAACAATTTATCCCAAGTGTTTGTGTGTTTTGTTTTGCTTGGGGATAACAAGGTAATTCGCTTTTCTGGTTGAAAAGAAAAAAAAAAAACAAACAAGGAAAACAAAAAATCTCAAGATGTTTTGAATGATAGGAAAAGGGGTTCCATTACTGTGTGGATCATTGGTCTCCCATCTGTGAGTACCAGGTTTGATCTCCAGCCCCTGTGCTTCCAGTCCCAACTTCCTGCGGAGGAAGCACACCCTGCAAAATGCCGGTGAGGACTCAGATCCTGGGATTCCTGTCACCTGTGTGGGCTCCTGCTCCCAGCTTGGCCGAGCGCTGACTGCTAGACAGTTAGGGAGTGTGCCATGGATTGAAAGATCTCTCCCTTCTCTCTATCTCTTTCTCCCTCTTTCTCTCCTCCTCTTTTCTGCCTTTCACGTAAAACAAAGATAAAATAACACACTTTTACAAGATGAAGAAAATTTCTTCCTACTACATTTTATTTTTCAGAGGTACAGCAATTTGAAAAGCTGGAGCCTATAAAAGCACAGAGGTAAGTGTTTGGTTCATGGTTAAGACGCTTGTTTAGGAACCCATATCCTATATTGACCTGCCTGAGTTTGATGCCCAGCTCTGACTCCTGACTTCAGCTTCCTGCTAACGTAGAGCCTGGAAGACAGCCATGGTAGATCTACTGGTTAGTTTTCTGCCACTCCTATGGGAGATGTAGATTGAGTTCCCAGCTCCTGGCTGCAGCCCCAGCTGTATCATTGCAGATGCTGAGAAGTGAACCAGCAGATGGTAACTGTCTTCTGCATGTCTCTCTGTCCCTCTGCCTTTCAAATGGATGGATGGATGGATGGATGAGTAACTAAATAAGTAATAAAAGTGTATGTCAGGGAGTTATGGCAGAATAAATGAAAGATACGTGGGAACAGACCCATTATATTTTGCCAGAAAACAGGCAACTTCATAATTTCAAATAATGTGCAATTTAATTAGGATTCATAAGGGGCAGGATGAATGACTGGGAGCTTGGAATGATCTCAAAGGCCTCTTAATCTGTCTGTCTCCCAGATGACAAAGATTCAAACCTCCAGGACCGGAACACCTGAGTGTCTCCAGAGATTATGTTTTTTGTGATCTCTGCACCTCTTTTTCTCCACTGGTGATTTCAAAGTAGCCAGATTAACTCGTTTCCCGACTCTAAGGTGCACGTTTCGAGAAATGGCTACAGCAGAAGCTGCAGTGCCTTCGTGTCCCAGCACCCTGTCTGCTCCAGTCCCTCAGCACAGGCAGACACAGAGGTCTGTGTAGTTCAAGAAGAGGGACGAGACCTCACTTCTCAGAGGAGGACCGGACAAGGTGAGTAGAAAGGACAGGGAGAGTGGGGTGTATAATGCCATCATGGAAAAGGCCTCCTGTCACAAAACACTTGACTAGAGGTAGCACTTGAGAAACACAGACAACAGGTGGCACTCAGGTAAGTGGTGATACACGGGATGTTTCAAAACTGAAGCGATGTCACGTGTCCTTGCCACAAAAAATAAATAAACAAATAAATAAAAGCAAGGTGGTAGATTTACCAGCCTTATTAAATCAACACACAACGTCAATGTGTATCAAAACATTTCATGAATATGTAAGATCCTTACATATTAACTAGTAAAATAAATTTAAATAAAGAAGATCAAGAGAAAGACGAGTAGTCAACTAATGATGTTTTTAGTTACAGAATAAAATATTTAAGCTCTTGATTTATAAGAATAAATCCAGTGGGCTTACCTGATGCAGAATAATGTTCATATCATTCAAACATTTAAACTGACAAAAATAAAACTTTAAAAACACTGGTGGTAACTTGAATGAGATTACTTCTAATTCTGGAAAGTCAAAGGATTTCCAAGGAAGACATGAAATCTGTAAATAAAACAAAATATTATCTCCATAGAAATCTAATTCTATATAGCAAAAAAATGCAATAAAATAAAAAAAGATTAAGGAAAGTTTGAAAAACATTAAGCAATTTGCATATACTTTATTTTCAAAATGCTCAGAGAAAATAATTGAAATATATATCCAATACTGAAACCAGTAGGGGACATGAACCATTACTTTATAGAAAATAAAAAATAAAAACTTCAAAAGAAATATGGTGACAGAATTTAAAACTACTCGTAAGACAGAAACACATATTGAATCAAAAGCTACACTTGGTTAGGAAGACGTTTTCGCATCTTGTCTAACAAGCAAAAATAAATCAGGGGTGTGTATAATATCTGTGTATCTATCACCAAGACCAACACCTTTCTTTCATGTCTTTGCCTTGTTGAATTTTATGCCACAGCCATAGTGTTGAGACACAAATCCAGGGCTTATTTTAATACTTAAAGAGAAGAAGACAATTGCTCAAAACCTCAAATCAAAGAATTCTAGTATGCATAATCCAAGGGTTGCATTTCTGTGTTTGCATGTAATACTTTATCCATTTTAGTATTTTTTTTTTTGTTCTAGTACCACTGGTTGAACTCTGTAAGTAACACACAATTATTCTTAGGTGTTTAAATTTAACTGAAAAGTGATCCCTGTTAGGAATTTGGAAAACATTATGCTGAGTGAAATAAGCCAATCCCAAAGGGACAAATACCACTTGTTCTCCCTGATAGGTGACAACTAACTGAGCACCAAAAAGGAAACTTGTTAAAGTGAAATGAACACTATGAGAAACGGTGACTTGATCAGACCTCGCCCTGACTGTTGATGAACAACTTAATATGTTAGCCCTCTTAGTATTTTTTTTTGTTTGTTCTACTTAATACTTTTGGTTGAATACTGTAATCAACACACAATTATTCTTAAGTGCTGAAACTTAACTGAAAAGTGATCACTGTAAAATATAAGAGTGGGAATAAGAGAGGGAAGAGATGTGCAATTCGGGACATGCTCAAGCTGACTTACCTCAAACGGTAGAGTTAGAAACATGCCAGGGGATTCCAATTCAATCCCATCAAGGTGGCATGTACCAGTGCCATCTCACTAGCCGCAGTCTGTTCACAATTGATCGTAATGATAGGACTAAGAACCAAAGGGATCACATAAACAAGAATAGTGTCTGCAAATACTAGCTGATAGAACAAAAAGGGGGGAGAACGATCCAACATGGGAAGTGAGATACACAGCAGACCCATAGAATGGCAGATGTCCTAACAGCACTCTGGCCTCAGAATCAGCCCTTAAGGCATGCAGATCCAGCTGAAAAGCCCATGAGAGTATTTCAGGCATGGAAAGCCAACACACTCTGGGGAAAAAACAAAAAACCTAAATGAAAGATCTCCGTGAGTGAGATCCCAGTGGAAAGAACGGGTCATCAAAGAAGGAGGTACCTTTCTCTGAAGGGAGGAGAGAACTTCCACTTTGACCATGGCCTTGTCTAAATATGATCAGAGTCAGTGAACTCAGGGGGCTTCCATAGCCTTGGCAGCTCATGACAAGAGCCTAGGGTGATTACTGATTCCATAAACCAGAATGTCAATTTGTTAAGTCAACAACAGGAGTCATTGTGCACTTACTCCTCATGTAGGATCTCTGTCCTTAGTGTGCTGTACATTGAGATTTAATGCTATAACTAGTACTCAAACAGTATTTTTCACTTTGTGTTTCTGTGTGGGAGCAAACTGTTGAAATCTTTACTTAATGTATGCTAAACTGATCTTCTGTACATAAAGAGAATCAAAAATGAATCTTGATGCGAATGGAAGGGGAGAGGGAGTTGCAAAGGGGAGGGTTGTGGGTGAGAGGGACGTTATGGGGGGGAAGCCATTGTAGTCCATAAGCTGTACTTTGGAAATTTATATTCATTAAATAAAAGTTAAAAAAATGTTCAGAATAATGCAAAATTGAACCTGTTACACACAATAGGACTCTATCTACTGAGGCCAGGCTAAGTTTTAGTTCCCTATGGCAATCAGCAAAGAAGATAAGAACAAGAATGGATTTATTTAAAGGACTGACATGCTCTTATTTCAATAGCAAAGGTATTGAAATCAATAAGATCAATAAGAGCAGATTCCATATCCCCTGTTTCAAAAGAGGATGAAATACTGACTTTGTTGTTACCTAGATTACCTGATTCGGAAGAGTGTTTTTGTTTCTATTTCTGTGTTGCTTACAATTTGAGTTTAAACCAAAGATGGATGGTAGATGGATGGACGGACAGACAGATGAATGGTTGGGTAGGTGGATGGATAGATGGTAGATAAAATAGATCAGATGCATAGTAGATAACATAGATCTGCACTTCACACTCACACAGACACACACACACACACAATCCTGTGGTGAAAAATTAAACCTGGAATTTCTATTTTTGTTTCAATTGCCAGTTCCTGTTTATTTCCATCTGTCAGAAGCAAACAAGATAGCTAACAGAAGTAGGTAGAAAAAAAAGGATAGATTGGCTGCCGGCCTCACTCGCTTGGTCATTCCCCCGCGGAGCGAGCCCCCACCTTTGTATTTCTTCCCAGGCAGGGCGATTGATTCCGTCCCGGTTGTTTTTTATTCCATCTATCTCTTTTGGCTGGCCAGGGCATTCAAGGAAGGACCACCCCCGTCCTCCGTCCCCCCACCCACAAGGCCGGCCGGAAGCAAGCACTGGGTTTGGGCCAACCCAGCGAGCCATAGGTAGCGCTCAGGGGGGGGAGCCAACCAAAAAAAAAAGGCAGTCCTTTCTTTCTGTCTCTCTCTCTCTCTATCTAACTCTGCCTGTCAAAAAATAAATAAATAAATAAATAAATAAATAAGGCATCATACAAGCCTTGCAACTGTGAATTCTGATTCCTCTCAGCACAAAAGGAGAAAAAGGGTGAAAGAGAAAATTGTATTCCTTCTCATGCTTTTATTTCCACCAACAGAACACTTCAGTTGTGACTAATATCATAAAGACCACTGAAGGATGAATAAAGCCGTCTCTAAGGCCCCAACTTCAGGCTCACTGACTTCAACTCCTTTTTATTGATCCTTTTGTTAATTTGTGACTTGCTTATCAATTTGTAAAAAAAAAAAATCAGTTTTTCTGTATTTATAATGTTTTAGTGCTCAAAAAGGATTATCTTTGGCTGGTCTCTAAAATATCTTTTGATTTCTAATTCATCTTTTCCTCTTTATCATTTACTTTTTCATTCCTCCCCCAATGAACTCTGCAGGTTTTTTTTGCAACTTTTTCTAACTTCTTCATCAATATGTTTGCATACTTGTTTTAAGTCTGAACTCTCACTTATTTAGATTTATGCACCTGAAGTTATAAATTCCCACAATACAGTATTTATGTACATCACTAAGGTTTTGCTAAACAGTGCTATTATCACTGATTAACTATGCCACTCTCATTTCCCCAAAGCCAATGAAAACACAGAAAGCCAGAGTTCAGGTAATGCTCATCTATTAAGACGTCTTAATGCAATTTCAGATGAAATGTCCTCCGTCAAATGTTGACTTCGCAGAAGACTTCAGAAAAACACATTAATCAAACAAAGCTAAGATTATTCGATTCAGTGCAGTAACAAAGAACACCACCTTGACAGAATCTTAATTGTGTCTCAAATCGTTGAGATTTATTTGTGGCCTATTGTGTATGCATTTTTATAATGCTTATATTTTGGAAAAATTCATATTTTCTAACTGACAGTATACATTTGTATATATGTGTGTTCAATTTAATATCTTTGTATTGTTTAAACTCCCTTTAACCTTAAGTATTTTTGTCAACATTTAAAAAAATTCTACTATAATGATAAATTTGTCAAATTCTCCTTATAGACATGATAGTTCTAGGTATATTCATTACTAATACTTTATTTCCATTATTTTATCTATTTTTTCCTTTTAATTTTTTTCTGATTTTATTGAGTGTACAGTGTTTTTTTCACTTATTTGATGTTCATGCTCCCAGTAATTTATAAATTCTATCTTGATTCTTAAAGTTGTTACCTTTGAAATTATATTATACAAACTGTAAATTATTGAAGTCTAAAATTAATCATCAATTCTATTGGCTATTGAAATAGTGTGAGGATATTAAAATTATCTTACTCTTTCTCTTATTATTATTGTTATTATCACTCCTCCTTCATGTTTATACAGAAAATTATGAATTAGTATCACTACGTCTTTAGCAATTTCACTGTTCCCATGCCCTAACCATGGAGCATTATATTAACATTCCTCCTATTATCTGAAGTGCAGTATTCTTGCAATATTTTGTTTGAGTTGAAATGTGAAGTGAGTTTTGTCAACTACTTTTCTCATTCTCACCTATTTCAATACTTAGTATTTACAATATCATTATTTTCTATGCAGAAGTTTCTTAA